GAAGACTCAGTAGACAACAAACAGTCTTACCAAAGCCCCAAGCATGAAATAATGGCAGGTGACGCCCTTGTCCACCTGCATTTTGGGCATCATCGACCTCGGCCAGAACCAAACAACACAGACCGACAGACAGAAAGACAGGCGGACGGACGGACACACAAACATACACACAACAAACACACACGGTCCTGAGTGCTCAGCAATGCAACTGTATCGATCACCCTCTACATCACCAAAACAACAGAGGAGTTTCTCCCAATACACTGAAGTTGGGGTTCTGAACATGCGAGTTCTCTTGTGCTTGAACTGCTATTCTGCATTTAAAGCTCAAAGCATGGCCTCTACCGAAGCCCTGAGTTCGTCCACGTGGCGGATACTTGTGCAGCAGCCGCAGAGTGGGCAGCCAAGGTCCATCTCTCTCGCTCCAGAAGAGCGGCACCTTGAGGATTTAGGGTTTAGGTATGCTTGATTCGCTGCAATATAGGGGCCTAAATCATTGCCAATACTATTTTGCAGGCTCCTTGCTATTTTTATTGTACACTGGGCCCCAACACCATATTATAACTATGAAGGCCCTTATAGTATGTCTTGGGCCATATTTCGGGTTGAGGAGTTCGGGGTTTAGCATCATCTTCCAGTCTGTGTTGACTGATGGCTAATTTCCAAAAATAAAAGGAGGTATATACCCTTAATATAGCTATTATATACCCATTATATAGCCCATTATACGGGAGGGGTCCCCAATAACGGTCGCTCCTTGTCCTCTTTGATAATTCCAGGGCCAGGGCCTGGAGGGGGCTTCTGGAATCTATCACGGATTGCCATGGGTACGCAACAAAGGTCGTGCAACGCTGTACATGATGATGTGCAGCAGTTATCCAACACAAACGACACAATAAAGCTCTGCAACCCCTCAACAACTCTTGGTCACGGGCCTTCTCGATGACGACGAGGGAGATGTGATCCTTACACTTTGCCTCGTCTGCTGCAGATGTGGCAGCTTGAGGGATTTGCAGCTTGGAGGATGTCATGTCTTGCATGGTTTTGAACATCTGATTCTACATGGGTGGTTGTCAAAAAGATGGTCCCTTTTTGGGGTACCCTAAATATTAGGTGCCGTTTATGATAATAGGGACCCGAAAACAAAGGGAACCATCATTTTGACAACCACCCACATGCCCTGGGGTTGCCAGTTAGGGTTACCTTACGAACCTAGACCCTCCATCTACCCTCTATTAGACCCTAAATGCCCCTTATTTGGGACCATATACCCCTATTTGAGGGTACAAGGAGGGTCCTGGAAGTCCAAAATACCGAGTTGGTTAAAGCGAAAAGGGAGCTAGAATGGAAGTGGGAGCCGCGGTGCCTAAACCCTAAATCGATTGGTTTTACCTTTCGTATTTGGGTTGGAAACTGATTTTGAGGCCTGACGGCTCAATATGTTTGGGCGCGTTGTGGCCCAGGACTCTGGGCACAAGCTCTTGGCTTGGTTGAGGTTTCGGCTCTCAAATTCGGCATGCATGGTTGTTGCCAGGATCCATTTGTCTGGTCTGCCGATGATGGAAACCGTAGATTTTGCTACCAGCAACTTTCATGGCTCTGAGGCTTCAATGCACATTCATTGGCCGGACAGCAATACTTGCATTCCCCATTCTATACTCTGTTGTTAAATAGGACCGTGAAATCGATCAACAAATCGATCGTGTTTGAACACTGTCTGTTGATGCCAACCTTCCTTGCTGCGGCCCAAGGACGATGACCATATTGGCATCCTTAGGCCAAATCTCCTTGAACACCTCAGACGGGGGGGGGTGTAGAAAAAATGTAGGACACCAATATAGACCCCAACATACCAGAATCTTACTACAACGACCCTCAAACAAGGTACCCCTAATCTTCTGAAACACCTGAACTTTGGAGTTTCCCCTCAAAATTTGGGGCAGTCTTGAACCTCGAACCCAGCCTCGGCAGATGCGGAGTGCTTAACCCTCCTCCCAACTCCGTAGCAGTTTACCATATATGCCTCCAGGGACCTTCTTGTGGGGTCCTTAAGGGGTCTAGGGCCCTAACTATGAAGTCCTTGGAGGGATAGGGTTAGGGCTTACAGGTTTTTGGGTTCAAGGATCCGGGTGTAGGCTCAACCTTCTCAGCCGCAATAGTCGTGCGGGCTCCCTTAGCTTCAGCACGGCCTCAAGCGCAAACCAATCGACGATCTGTGAAGGTCAGTTCCCAGATCAAGAACCGAGATCGTTTTTTAATGCAGTGGGCCTTTAACTCCTGATGCCTCGACCCTGCCTTTGACAGGCTTGCACAGAAAAACAAAACATTAACAGCTCACCCAGCAGTCGGAGGACGGTTTTCGAACTCTAGACTAGCTGCAGGCAGCAGCAATCGGTTTAGGACTTAGAGTTCTCAAGAATCCCGAATCCGAAACAAAAAATGCCTAGGTGAAGCCTGAATTCGTCAGGTAGGGACCTAAGCGTGCGGAGTGACCCGAGAATCAGACGAGTGTAAGTTCACTACCAGGCCCTAAGCTCCAAACAGCAAACAGGCTTAGGGCTTAGGGTTTAAGGCTTCAGGCCTAGGGCATAAAATTCCTTGGGGAAGTCAGCAAGCCAAGGGCTACATGCATCAGACCCTAGCGAACATCGGCACTACGTAGCTGCATGCATCTCAATCTCATGATCAAGTCTTCCATAGCTCCCACGTCACAAATCCTGCACCTATTCGTTTTGAAGACGGAAACCATAGGACCATTTACGCAGTCAGAATCAAGGGGAGGTTCCCGGAGCCCATGACCCGCATCCTCCACCTAAAGAAGAAAAAACGTGAACTGCAGACTTTCAGGCTCATTACTATATGGGGGCCTCAATGCTTAAATGGGGCTTTGCGGTATACTGTACTATAATGATACTAAGTATATACTAATGGACCCCAAACTATTGTTGGTACTTGTTCTGGCTCTTCTCTAGCTAGTTCTGACTGGGTTGTGTAGCCCGCAGAACTTGGGCCGCAGGATAACCCCAAACGACTCCTCAGAAACTGCAACCCACGCCACAGGTTCGAGGCGCGGGTAGAGCTCCTTCCCCAATGTAGCGGGAGTGGTGTCGTGCTTTGCATGTCGGGGTCGGTGGCATCTGCTTGATGTGGCTTCATGATTCATGATGTCTTAGGACTTTACATGGGCCTCGCAAGCTCCTGTTCAGTTTCAAGCGGATCAGAGTTTGTAGGGCTTCGGGTTTTGGGCTTAGGAAGTTTAGGGTGACTAAACTAATGGCACCTGAATTTGGGGGAGCCCCTTACTCGTAGCAGCAAACCCTAAACCCTAAACCCTAAACCCTAAACCCAAACCCTAAACCCTAAACCCAAACCCTAAACCCTAAACCCTAAACCCTTAACCCAAACCCTAAACCCAAAACCCAAAACCCAAACCCTAAACCCCAGCAAACCCTGAACACTTCTCCTGGATCTTCGTCTTGATGCCACGCTGCACGGAGCTCTTCACCTGCATCCGCAGCGCAAGCTGATGTCTTCGGGTCAAATAGTGTATACCCCCCAAAACCCTAAACCCTACACCCTAAATCCCAAACCCTAAACCCTTAGCCCATCACCATTCATATACTCCCGACTTTTGTTCCGATGCCCTCAACCTCGACGCTTGCCAGAGTCGCCATTTGCTGCAACATGCACTAAATCTGAAACATGAAACAGAGGGCAGTTGCAACAAGTAGACAACACGGAGGTCTAGTTGTACAACTCGGGGATTTCCATGTATTTTTTTGCTGGAAGTTTTTTTCTGGTGGAGGTCTTCGCCTCAAAAACTAATTCAAGGGAAGCTGGATCAACCCTAAACCCGAAACCGTGCGCTGGATCCCTCAAGTCATAAACCGAATCCCCTGGCCCGTATCCCCGAACATGCAAACCCCCAACCATGGGAATTGCTACCAAATCATATCCCATACAAGTCCCAATGTATTTACGTTCTAGTGAAGCCCCGAAAACCCTATTATTTTGACTCTATTCTGACCAGTGAGGTATACTGACTAACTGAGCCGGGCCTGATTCTGTCCGGAAACATCCGACGGCGTGAACCCCTTGAACATCCTCCGGCGCGAGGTTGCTTCGTGTGGAGCGGACCGTTAAACCCTAAACCTGCAGGGGTGTTTGAATCTGGAACCCGCATCGTGTGATGCGGGACAGGGAGGCCTGTTGGGCCCAACGGAACCCACGGTCACTCCGACCATCAGGACGATGTGCTGCAGGGCGAGTAAGCCCTAAATTGGCCCTAAATGCGATGCGAACGATGTATACTTTGATGTTTACATGCACACACTGGACCTGAAACCCGTTTGTGCAAACTTGCGTTCCGAATTCCCCCAGAAATGGCTGCAAAAGCGCCCAAAACCCTGCGGTTGGGGGTCCTGAAGGAGGCGTGTAGCCCACTGGCAGCAAAGCCGATTCTACGGGATTTAAGAGACCTGAAACAGGGTCTGCTCTCGAGATCCTATTGATTAGCAGTATTTCTAAAGGGGGTGTGGACCAAGCAGCTGCTAGCTTCTGGGCGCTGAAAGGCTTCTGCATCGGACTCCTGGTTAACCTTGCACCTGGAAGAGAACTTGAGCATAACATAACTACTCTCAGGATTCTCAGCCTTAAAGCCGCATTATATCACTGACGCGAAGCGCTTAAGTCGTAAGTTTCGGGACATGCTTAGCTTTGATGCGTCGTCTGGTGCTGCGACGAGCCGAAAGCAGCAGCAAGACAAAGACAACTTGCAAAGGACTGCAGAGTTAGAATCTGGCAGGAATCTGGAAATTTTGGATAGTGTCCGGTCCACTGTTTTCTGGTCTTAAGCACCTGTGGAGCTTAGGCCTTATAGTGGGCATAAGTTTGGGGGTTTAGAGATTTACAAGTTGCCCTAAACGCTAGACGGCTGAACCTCACACCTTAAACTCTCGGCTGTCGGGGGGTTTCGTTGAAACCGATCGTGAGGTACTGGCCGGGTCGAATCAACGCCACCGATGCCTCGGAACGAACGAGATCAGCGGAGGGAAGTGCAGACGAGGCGTGAAGAGGTGGTATGTTGAGACAAGGTGACACAAGTAGGGGTTTCCGAAAATTAGGGGTACTTTCTCATGGGGTCCTTATAGTAGGGATCCTACTATTTAGGTTACTATATTGGGGTCCCCTATTTCGGAAACTCCCAAGTAGGACATCGAATAAGGGGTTTCGGGTGCTAGGGGATTTTGACAGTATCGTCTCGAGGTTGTCGGGTCACAGAGCTCAGTAGGGCAGAACTCCGATGATCCTCCGGGGAAGCATCCCTAGACCCTCCATCTACCCTCTATTAGACCCTAAATGCCCCTTATTTGGGACCATATACCCCTATTTGAGGGTACAAGGAGGGTCCTGGTCTATTTCGGTTATTCAAGAGGCTCTTGGTCCAAAGCTGAAGTCTTGGAGTCTAGGCAAAACCAAGGCTTATCTTATCCTTTGGCCTTTGGCTTTAGGGCTTAGGCCGTATGCCCAAAACTTTACCCTCGGTTTAGGGCTCAGCTCCTACCTTAACCCTGAAGAACCTGCCTTTTTAGGGTTCCCTATCATGATTTCCTTACATAAGTCCTGAAAAAGGTAGGTTCTTCAGGGTTCAAACCCTACACCCTCGGTTTAGGGTTCGGTTAGGGCTGCTGACTGGGAGTTTGAGGGCAGGCTGCCGACGGGTCACGCCGGAGCTCCAAAACCTTCATCTTCTACTGAGCGCTGAAACCTGAGCTTACTAGAGGGTTTCGGGAAACATATGGTGTAGGTTTCTGGTCATGCCCCCCCCCCCATACCACCCAACAAACTCAATGCATGCGTACATCACTAGCTGTAGAAAGCGTGCCAACTCCTCAAGCCAGGAAGATATCCCATGCAGTTCTACACGACTTCATCCGAGGCCATCACCTTCAGGGCATCGTAGGTGCTGCGAACCAGGTGATGGGACCTCGGATTTCTTGCTATGGCGTGACAGCTGCTTTTGTGATGCTGGTGCAGGGTTTTGGGGTGCAGACACTGATTGCGGATGCTGAGCAGCATCACAGGTTCGAGTGTCGCACCTGGCAAGATCAGAAGGTACGGCAAGTGCTACTGTCACGTCTATTGTCATTCTGGAACTTGATTCTGTGTTGGGTTGGCAGAAGAATAGTTAGAGGAGTGAAGGTGAAGGTCTCATGTTGTTCGGGTTTAGGGCTTGTGGAGTTATATCTTCACCTGCTCAGCCTACTCACATGGCCTGAATACTCAGGGTGGACTGAGGATTTGACTTTCAGGGGGTCCATACTTATGGAACTCTGATTGTGCGGACTTCGAGAACCCAGCTGTCGGAAACATCCGACCAAGAGCTCTGAAAGCAACCACAGGCCCCAAAACCCAGCACTTCAAATCAAAGGTCCTTAAACTCTAAACCTACACTCAGGAAAGCCAAGAAACACTGCCAATGCCGTACATGTGGGTGGTTGTCAAAATTAAATAATTAGGGTCCCTTTTAGGGTCCTTAGTATTATACGGCTCCTGATAGTTAGGGTATCCTAAAAGGGACCATAATTTTGACAGCCACCCATGTGAGCTTCTGAGTCCTCAGCTCCTCGTCGCATTGCCCGATGAAGTACGTCTCATTGAGGTCGGCGTGGAACCCCTCGTGACCTTAGCTTAGCTATGAGAGTTTGGGGTTTCAAGTTGGGGCTGGAGGGTTCGGCTCAGGGCGCAGGGCTTAGCATTTGCCGCTGAGTGCTTCTCTACAGGCGGATATCCACCAAAATGAAGTCCTGGGCACATGCGGGACATTTTTATAGAAGATGTCGCACCAAGAATACACCGCGCCCCCTCCCCCTTCAAACAAAGCAACAGTAAACCTTAAACCCTGGACCCCAGGAGTTGAACAAAACCCCCATAGAGCCCTTGTACTAAGCTTATCATTTAGAGCCCTCTACAACCCCATAACTTGCCACCTGCACCCCAGAACCCTAAATCCTAACACCCTAAACCGTAAACCCGTAACACCCTACACCCGAAAATCGTATGAACTCCATAGCTTTCCACTACCTCTCTCACCCCCCTCAAGACATTGCGCTCAGATGTCGAGACCACGACAGACGCTTACATCGAGGTTAACCTGGCGAGCATATTTGGGCTCTGGGGCTTTGGGTTTAGGTTTAGTTGGGGATGAGGGCTTTGGGATTGTGTTCTAGTGTTTAGAATTTCAGGATAGTTTTTGTTGGTCACAGTTCAAGGTGCCCTCTGTTCATCCTCATCCTCATACTTATGGTCATCATCATCATCCGAGGTCATCAATACCGCTACCACCACCCCGCTGCCCCAACCACCAGCACCAGCACCAGCACCAGCACCAGCACCAGCACCAGCACCAGCACCAGCACCAGCACCAGCACCACCACAACAACCACCAGCAGCAGCCGAATCATGGGAAAGAGCGCATCATCGAGAAAGAGCGCAACGGAAGTCGCGAAACAGGCCGGCAACTCTATGTCACCCTCCTGCAGTGGACGGCTGTCCGGAATGCCGTGGCAAATCACCTGACACAATTGTGACTGTGGGCAGGAGGCTTACGAACTCAGGCTTTGAGTGCACTGTAGCGGTTTGCTTTGTTCCGGGGAACCTGCTAGACTTATTGGATCGAAGTGATCGAAGCAAACACAGCCCTTATCCGCAAGCGCAGCCCCATCAAAACCACGCGCATGAAAGCTCCGATGAGGGCCTTAAGTTGCAGTTCGAATCCTATTACAACTCTTGGAGTTGATCCCCCTTGTTCTTTTAGTCACACGCAAGCCTACACCGAAAGATCCCCAAAGCCCAAATCACCTTTGGTGCTTATGACCATGTCAAAGTCTTCAAGTACCCCGACACCACAACACACCATAGGGCTCCGTAGAGCTGGCAGAACGCCACAGGACATACAAATCATTCGGTATGTAAGGACTGGTCGGCACACCATGTGGGGCTAAAGCTCCAAAATACTTTGAGTCGGAAACACTCAAGGTCGGGTACTCTATACTCAAATACTTTGAACCGTAAACCCTAAAGCTTGATCCTAGCTCCACACCTCGAAACACGCTGAACTGCAAACCTTCAAACCCCTAAACCCTGGCTCTTAAGTCCTTAAAACCACTAAACAAAGCATAAGTCATAAGATCCTAAGCCCTTAAAACCCCTAAACAAATCACAAGTCATATGCCCCCCAAAGTGCCCAAGATGGACTCTGCACCTCGTTGGCAGAGACGCAGACAGACTTGGGGAAGCCCATGTAGTTCAGAGGGCTCGGGTAAAGACCTGAAGGTTAGGGCTTAGGGCAGGTTGGGTTTAGGGTTTAGGCTTTGGGATTTAGGGTTTAGGGTCTTTTGAGGTTTCAGAGGTTTATGAAGGTTTGTAAAGTGTTAGCACGGTTTTGGGCTGATTGTGAGGGCAGCCGCCGTCCCTATTGCTAGTTGACTGAAAGCTCAAGACACGAACGGGCATGAGAGTAATTCGTCGGGACGTATCTAGAACATGGCAGAGCATCGTGTTTAGGGTCGGGCTTTCAAGGGTTGTGAGGTTTCGTTTCGGGATGTTTGGGTTTCGAGGGTGCGAGTTCGGGAAGTGCGGCTTACTATTTGAGGAGCCAGGGTTCAGGTGCAGATCCGAGGCCTCAACTCTGCGCCCTAAAACCGGAAAGCCATAAGGTCAGTGCCTGAATCTTCCGATCCCCAGATGTTGTCCTTATTCAGGTTGGGGGCGTAATCTGTCAGAGGTTTAGGTTGTAGACTTCATCCCTACACGTGGGGGACACGGGACAAGGCTTCAAGTGATCAGAGGGAGAACCGAAGGTTAAACAGTCCGGAAGCCTGCATAAGGCTTCACATGGAGGCCTAAGATTTCGAATGGGAGCCTGTCCAAAGCCCCATGAAGCTTTCAGAACCCAAGCCTGCATCCCGCAATGCTACAGACCAAATAGGAGAGTCGGAAAGACCCCCCCTTTATATCCCCAATGCAAGTACAGTATGACATACTCTGAAACCCTATCCAGGTTACTATATGCACACTTCATAACCGCAAACCATTGATCCGCCAAGAACCCGACGGCGCTCTCGACAGGCTGCATACACGACCTTCGCACGGACTACGGGCTTAGAATCTCTGCAGGTTTGAGGTCTGCTGGCAGTCGCCATGTACGACCACTTCTGCTGCTTGCTTGAGTAAACTCCTACATCTCTACATATTGTGCCTTGCTTCGGCCTGAAAATCCTCTGAGTCCAGAGTACCAAAACCACAGTACCGGAGTTGAAGAGGCAACCGGCGCCTGCGGAATGATTTTCAACCAGTGAGATATAGAATGCCTAGATTGGAACAAAGCTGCGGAGGGAAGGAGACTCAAAAAGGACCAAAGGATTCAAGCACCTGGTAGTTTTAATCAGGCACTCTCCCGGATAACCAGCCTAAATAGCCGACATTGCTACTACCGGACACCCTAAACCCCAAACCCCAACCCATAAACCCTAAACCCCAAACTCGATTTGGGTGCACGGGTTTCCGGCTGTGGGGCCCCTGAAGCGTTTAGAGAGGCTTGCCAGGTTGCGGCTTTTCGGAACTGTGTGGGTTTCGGGGTCCAACGTTTAGGCTATGTAAGTGTGTGTGTATTTATAATGTGTGTGTATATATATATATATATATATATATGACACAACTGGGTAGTCATGTAGGTAGGTACCTATACAGACCATACACACCGTACTAATATTAACCCGCCCTGCAAAGAGCATAATTGACATCCGACACCCCAACCAACGGGCAACTGCTGGCCATCGGCAAGCCTTTTGACTGCGATCTCTCGCACGGTCACCTACTGCTGCCGCTCAAGATCGCTGTTCAGGTGGTTGCTTACATGAGGTACTGGCCAATCGAGCTTCTAAAGTCATAGGACACGACCGCATCGTAGAGTCTCATTGCTCTGCAGGACCCAGGGTATCAAGAACAGCTTGAGCAAGGCATCTACGAGCCTCCACTACCCCTTCACGTGGGGCTCTTTCTGGCACAGCTCCGGGCAAATGGTCTAGAATTCGCACTGTGATGAGTGAGCTCTGGTCCATGTCTACATGTCGCGGATTCAGGACTACTCAACCCACTAATTAATCCTGAAACCTGTTTTGGTACCCTCATATAGAAACCCTTGCAGGAACCCTCTGAGCAACCCTTACAGGAACCCTTGCAAGGAATCCTTAGAAGGAAGCCACTTAAAGGTAAGCGGTTGGAGCCGTTGTGGTACAGTCTGAGCTCTAGGAGTGCCATGTCTGTCGATCAGGTCTTCCTTCGTGCAGCACCTACTTCTTCAGAACGTATATAGGTTGGCCCTTTAAAGCCTCTGAAAAATATTCGTAAATAGGGTCCTATTAAGCCCAATAAGGGAAAATATAAAACGTCCCAAATGCCTACCTAGTACTTCTTCAGAACGTATCTGGAGAGGAGGGCCTTGATTAGCCTTGATGAGGGTTAGCTTTTACGCTCAGGAAACACATAAGTCTGCCATGCTAGTCGTCTTTGCATGCGATGGTCCCTGTGACGGGCCCCTGCTGTCATGACAAACTCCTGTCGGTACTCCTTGTCAACACTTCTTTTCACAAAAACATGCCAAAAGCTAGGTTGCCGCTCCTGATAAGATTTCCTCATAAGCAAATCCTTTCCTAAGGGAACACAGACCTTAACAACAACCCATCTATGTTAGTACCCTGAACACAACAAGTAGTCTGGTCTTATCACGTCCGACCTGGTGGGAACACCAGATGCCCGAGGGCACTGCCTCCCCATCCACATGAGACCGCCCAATCGCCCGGCTTGCTCCATGATCGATCGATATCCCTAAACCTAGCGTTTAACAATTCAGGGTTGCTAGCATGTCGCTAAACATTAGCAGTGCATGGGTGGGGGATCGGGCTCCTAATGGTTTCAGTGGAGGGCCATGGCACCACAGCGCCTCTAGCGGTCCTCCTTCGGTCCGCGTTAGGCTGGGGACGAGGGTGTACGTTAAGCCTATGGTAAACCAAGGCTAGCAAGGCGTGATGATAACGAAAAAGGATGACCCACGGCGCGAAGGTTCAGTTCCGTTTGTGTAATCCAACCATGACTCGCCATATGATGCCTCATATATGGATCAGCTTACTTAGACTTGTGGATGCCGTACATCATGTTCAAGCTGTCCGGGCGTTCTGCACTGTCAGAGTGCACCAGTTGCTAGTGAGCTGCAGGTTTGCAGGAAGGGCACGAGAAACTACGCTCCGGGCAGAGAGGTTAAAACGTATAGTCGAGGGCTTTTGGGATATTGAACTTCCTTCCAGGCTTTGGAAATTAGATTTGATGGCTTTGGGTTTCGTGTTGTATGGCGGGCAAGCCGGTTAAGAGGTCTGCGCGCTGTCCTTGTTTAACTTCTTCTGTTCTGCAATGCCGAAAAGACGTCTTCTTGAGAGTACCTACCAGGCACTGGCTCAGCCTTTGTGCGAGCTTCAAGTGATTGCTAGGCCTTTCTTGAATGCCCTTCCTGCACCCGCTGACAAAGGGATTCTGCTTTGTGCCTCGCCAGGCCGGCAGAAACCGTGTTACTACTACAACTCCTGCTCACCGTGACGAACATGTTGTCACCTTTAACATATATGATCACCACCACCCTCGCCGCCACAACCACAACAACCTTTCACTCGTAATTATTACTAGTGCTACCTTGCAACCACGATAGCGACGACACGTTGCAACGGCTGCCGCTGATGCAGCTGCCACTAAAACAACAACTACTATACAACATCTAAAAGTCTGAAACTACGACTACCGCTACCACTACCGCTACGACCGGCAGTACCGCTGCCACTGCTTCTACGACTCCTCCTATTTGTACTGCTCCTACCAGTACTATACTTCAACTACTGCTACTACTGCTAGTGCTGCTGCTACTACTTCGGCGGAAGAACGATGAAAAGACCACGGGAAGTTGCTTGATAATTGTCAAAGCTCGCTCGGCCGGATCCTGGGGGCGCAGCAAGCTTTCCTTTGAGGCGAAGGTGAGACTGCACGACCAGCGTGGAGACACCCACGCTGGTGGCTGCTAAACAATCACGCCTTTGAAACACCACGCTGGGTGCAAAGCACCTGTGGCTGAGTGTCAAGTCAGTGGAGAAGCTTCCGGCTCAAGCAAGGTCATGTCGGGAGTAACATACGGTGCTACTTGCAGCTGCTCTGTCACGTGCTACCCTACATCAACATGTGGCACGGGCCTAAACGTCATGAGAACGCCGAGTTCAACGTCATGAGATCCAAACTCCGGCTTGTGTGAATGATCCGGAACCCTGACCACCACATACCCCAAAATCCCAAACCCTAAATCACAAAGGAACAGGCACCCACTCCAATGATGCCATCACTCGAAGACGTAGGTCGACTTAAAGTGCATCGCCCATGGGAACTTCGTCCGCACAGTCTTTGGGAAGACCCGCTCGATAGCCAGGTCCACCTTCCTTGTTCTAAAGGCTTTGGGATTCTCACGGTGTAGTGTTGAGGGTACACGGTTTAGGGGTTTATGACTTTCGATTTTCTGGTGTATGTTTAGGATATAGAATAGGTGTAAACCCCATGCAGTCACCCATTCGAGTAGTTAGGTTTGTGGGAGTTTCCGAGAATGGGGGGGGCCCCAATATAGTACCCTAAATAGTAGGATCCCTATTATAAGGACCCCAGAATAAGGTACCCCCAATTTTCAGAAACTCCCTTGTGGGTGTGAGGATTTCCCGCTTTCGAGGCTCAAGTCCGAAACTAAAGGAGCCCCAGTCCCATGGGAGCTTTCCGAAATATAGGGGGGCCCTAAAAAAGGGATCTATAAGGGTTCTATAAAGGGCTTAGGGTTTAGGGTTTGGAGTTTCCGAAAATTAGGGGGTTACCGTATTTTGGAGGCCTTATAACACCGTAAGGGTCCTACTATTTAGGGTACTAGATTAGGGTCTCCGATTTTCGGAAACCACAAAATCTTCAACACCACACTCAAACTATGAAGCTAAGCAGCTCTCAGACCTAAATCCTTGCGCCAATAGCCGAGGACCCATATCTGCACCTTCTGCCCTATACCCCGAAAGCCCTGAAACCTCTAAACCTCAAACCTTGCACCTGAAGCCTAAACCTTCGACCCAAGAGTAACCTATGAATAATGAGAATGCCCTTTTTGGGTGAAAGGGTGTTATAAGAGAACCTAAACCCTAAAAAAGGGAATGAGGGCCTCCTCTGGATCCTAGACCTTCGATCCTAGACAATCAAGTCAAAACAAAAGCGGGAGTTTCCGGTTATTAGGGGTACCTTATTTTGGGGTCCTTATAATAATAATCCTACTATTTAGTGTACTATATTAGGGTCCCTTATTTTCGGAAACTCCCAACTGGCCTCAACCTCCGAACACCGAAGCCAAGAAGCGATACCTCAGCACCGAACATCGAATCCCTAACCCCGGGCCAGGATTTACATAGGGCTTTAAGGGCCTCAACACAAAGTGAAGAAGACCAAGACGCTTGCACCATGCGACGGTGATCCTGCGCAGCGCAGAGGGATCAATTTGGCCGAGATTCGGGAGTTTCCGAATATAGGGGACCCTAATAAGCTAGGATCCTTGTTATAAGGGCCCCCAAGTAAGGCACCCCTAATTTTCGGAAACTCCCCAATCTGGCCAAGCTTGGGAGCAAAAGAGAAAGACTTGCCCACACAGGGATCTAGGGCCTAGGGTTTACGATTAAAGGGTCAAGTTGATCAGGTTCACAAGCACCATCAGCATATATAGCATAGGCACCATCATCACTATCATCACGACCATCAACAAGATATGTTTTCATCATCATTGTCATCACGACCATCAACAACATCTCTTTCATCTTCCTGACCTCAACAGAAGCTTCACCGAGTCGGCCGAGCCTGGGATCCATGTAGTTGACCTTTGAGGTCCCCAAGGAGACGGTCTTGTTGGCTTCTTTGGTGTCCATGGTCCTGGGATTGAAAGGTTGCATAGGTTTTTTAAAAAAACCTATGCACTACGGTTGGCTTCTTTGGTGTCCATGGTCCTGGGATTGAAAGGTTTCTTTGAAGACTTCTCTACAGGAGCCGACAAGTTGGAAGATGAGTATGCGCATGCCCGTAAGGCAAAGAATAGGGAACCTCACGAATCATCCTTAACCCATGTCCCATCTTTCTGGGGTTCGCAAAAAGTACTAGAAGAAGCTCCAGAATCAGAACGGTCTAAGAATTTAGGCATTCGAAAACATGGCCTGCAGGGATTCCTCTCCTTGTTTATGGGCTTTTCCTTACGGCTTAGGTTTCGAAGGGTTTCGGATTGCCAGGATTTGTGGGTCAGTGTTCTAGGGTTCAAGGGTTTAGGATTCAGGGTTTGGGGTTTATGGGTAGGTTCGTTTCGGGAGTTGTTCGCTCCTTCTTAAGAGTATAGTCTTTACGATTAAACAGAAACGATACTCAGAATTGCCCAGGTGCGTCTTGTGCTTGTGCAACCTGCCGTGCATCTGCTGGATTTGGGATTCAGATCAGGAGTCAACGTATCGCGTGTTGATCGTAAGCCCTCACTGGGTTTGGGGTGGATTTTGGGTTTTGAGTTTTAGGGTTTAGGGCCGTTCAGTGCTGAGGGTGTTATGAGGACGTCTGCGGTTAGGGTGCTGGACTGTGGAAGAGGAAGACGGTTTCGGCCTTTCTGTCTTGGCAAAAACAAAAGACCCTAGAACAGCACTAAACCCTGATACTTAGATTGTGTTTCATCTGCTGGGTGGCTGCGTCACAGTTCCAAACAAGCAAAAGGACCTGTCAACTGACCGAATCTCAACTGATTCGTTCTCCGACCCAAACTTCATTGGATGTTCTTGAACTCCCTAAACCCTAAACCTTAGACCCTAAACCCTAAACCTTCTGGGGAGCCTTAAACCGTGAGTCGCAATTAGCTTTTTGAGACTCTCGTGAACCCAAACACCTGAACGATATGGGAGTTTCTCAAAATAGGGGACCTCAAAATAAGTAAGGCACCCCCCCAATTTTCGGAAACTCCCATTTCAACCCTCGATCCCGCTCGGTCTGGTCTGCACACTGCAGCGCCCCAAACTGTTATGCCCCTGAGCCTCAAAATCCGCAGTCTGAGCTGACAACCCTCTCCAGATCTATACCCCGAAGCCCAAAACCTGCACGCCCATCCCTCAAACAACAATCTGAAAAAGAGGAGACATCTGAAAAAACGAGATGCGAGGACTGTCTTGAACCGGAAATCCGGATACACCCGAACTCTACCTATAGTCTCGATTGTAGCTCCTGTTTTTGAAATTACTATAGGTACAGCCGAACTCATCAATCCCAGCAGTCCCAAGTCCCAAGCAAGAAGCTCCCCAGGGCCCCAAACCCCAAGTCCCACCCAAAGCGAATCCAACACCCCAAGCCCAAAACACCAAACCAAAACCTAAGCCTTGAATCCTAAGAACCCTAACTCCTAACCCAAAGCCCGAAACCCAAGGCCTAAAGCCGGAAAGCACCCCCGACAAGAAAAACAAGCGGGTACCTATGAAGCACCCAATCCCTGTAGCACATGATTCGACATGCTTAGTCGCCCTGAACCCCGAACCAAAACCGCCAAGCCTAAACTCCAAAGCCTACAAAACCCCGGCACCATTAAACCCGAACTCGAAATCTCCGAATCCGTCAGCAAGTAAGGTTATGAGTACCTTAATTGGGGTTATATATAAGTATTTATACGTAGAGCTACCCTAATTATAACCCTAGTGCCGGCCTCAACTTCACCTCCATCATCTTCTTCTTGGTGCCCTCGGCGTCCTGTTCAGAAGTCTTGGCTTTGAGCCTTATGGGGATTATATAAGGGTTTAGGGTTTAAAAGGATTAGGGTTTAGGGTTTAGCGGTTTAGGGTTTGGGGCTTATCGGGTTAAGGGGTTAGGGTTTAGGCTTTGGGGCTTATCGGGCTAAGGGGTTAGGGTTTAGGGTTTGGGGCTTATCGGGTCAAGGGGTTTAGGCTCTTGTGGTTTGCTTTGGGGTTTGTTTAGTCTTAGGGCTGTGTATTTGTTGTTTAAGGCTTTTTTGACTTTGAAGGGGAGGGTTGTTGGCTTCGGGGTTTAGGGGTGATGAGTGTGTTGTCCTGGAGTTGGCCGGTAGAGTTTAGGGCAGTCTTTCGGCTTTCGAGCTGGGGGTTTAGTGCTTCGGGCGAAAGGTGTTGAGGTGGAAAACTGAGGTTTGAAGTTCGTTCTTAGCGCCTTCTGTCGCAATGCCGTAATCACTTCGTTTTGTCATAAGAGGATCTCACCCCGAAAGCTAAATTTATTCGGTTACCCGCACAAAAGTGAGGGTGCTGCATTTTTCGGATTAGCAAACCACAGCGCATGTCGTCAGGACTACCCTAAGCCCTCAAGCGCAAGCCCTCTAAACCCTTAGCACTGCACCCTCAAAAGCCTGAGCTCCGAACCCCAAGCCCTCTCCGCACTGGTTTCATCCATGCCGAAGGTGTGGAAACGGCCGAAGATGAACTGCCAAAGCCCCAAGCCCGAAACCCTTAAACCCTGAACCCTAAAAACATCTAAATAAATCTAACTACCCTAAAGCCGTAGCCCGAAGCGGCAGGAGTCCCGGGGCAGCTTCTGGCCCTCGACTTCTTTGGACGGCTTGCCCTCCTTTCAAGATGCTGGTGCAAAATCTGGAACCAGCAACCAGTACCACTTTCAAGGACATCAAAACAAGGAACTCTAGGGGAGAATGCCTCCTCTTAGGGCGAGGGAGGTGCAAGGCTCCGAAATATTGAATAGAGCGGATTTAGGCAGAGATTTGTGTCCTGAGTGAGCGCAGGTTTGCCGATCTCAAGTCGTAAGCCTGGCAACTACGTCCTGTGCCACAAATCTGCTTTAGACATGAAGGCGCATACTGCCTGGATGCTGTTCCTTGGCAGCATCTGGATCAAGCTAAAGCTTGAGGAAGTCTTCGGCTGACAGATCTGTTATAGGCAGGTCGAGCTTACATCAGGCAGTGGCCCGTGAGATTAGAGATTCTAGCATGCAGTTCATGTAGTCACGTTGTTCTCTAGGGAGGCATACCCGACGAAGCCAACAATCAAAACTTCACAGCTCCGAATAGTACCGTAAGAGCTCAGCATGGCACCCTTCACCTACAGTCCAAAACATCTTGCCTACAGTATTGCGATGTGCTCCAACATACCGCGGTGTCAGTGATGTACCCCAAGCTGAGTTTCACACGGTCGGACACACAGCCAGCCCTTACCCTCCACCCTCAACTTCCGCACAGTTGGGCATCCGGGGTGAGAGTGAGCCTGAAAGCAACCGTAGGCATCGAACCTGCAAAAGGCCAAACCCTGCACCTCCAAACCGGTCAACGCCGGCAGGCCCTTGGCCATTACACACCGAAATCCGAAGACGCTAAACCTTCAAACCCTCACCAACAAACCCTTCCATCCCTAAGCCCCCTCCTGGAGTCTGTGGAGATGTGTCTTGAGCCGCCTTGTCTCGCAACGCTTTCTTCACAGGCTCGTCAAGCGAAATATGGTCTAGCACAAAAAGAAGCCTAATGTTCACATGTTGCGGAATGGGGCTGAAGCTTGCGGCTTGTGCGGGCTCTCCAGGAGATTGCAGCCGGCCATTGGTCTTGGAGTTCTGGTCTTGGAGTTCTGCGCTATTTCCGTAGACCCTTGACTTAGGACCCTAAGCCCTCAACTGTAAAACCTAAGCCCTTGAGTTAAAACCCAGAACCCTCAAATGCTCTAAAACCCAAAACCCCAAACTGCCCTAAAACCGCCCAAAAAGCACCAAAATGCACCGCGCGCCCCCCCCCCCCCCCCTCCCCCCCAAAAAAAAAACTCGGGCCGGGTTGCTTATACGTCTGCTCAATCTCCTTGGCTTGGAGCTTCATCTTCTCCATAGCCTGCCGGGATGTAGCAGCGAACGGTTTAGGCTTTAGGCTTTAGGGTTTAAGGTCTGGGGTTTAGGCTTTAGCGTTTAGGGTTTAGGGTTTTAAGCGTGAGAGATCTTTCCACAGCTCCGTGCGTAGTCTCGGCGCTGACTTCATGCGAGTGACAACAAGGATGGCGATGATGACCTTCATGATGATCATCTGTGGCATCTCTGAGTTCTCAGTAGTACTCATACTGGTTGCAGGTATTCGGCAGGCAGCCATGCTGCTTATGGCTACTAGCGATGCGAGATACTGCAGTCGTTACTGTCATCTACGAGTTCTCCAGACGAGCACGATGCAGCAGTCCTGAGGGAAATATGAGCAAGTCTAATGCTCATCTGTTCACATCTTCAGCATTCATATATATATATATATATATATGTATATCTTTGTGTGGATATGTATGTATATATATATATACAAAATTTGTGTAGCTGTGTGTGTGTATATATATATAATGTAGATGTTTATGCATTTGGAGATGTGTGTATACTCTCTCTATATATATATATGTATATATATATATGTATACATCACACCTATTGCTATATAACATGCATACATATGCTCACGCTGATGTTCACTTCAATGGGCGAGCCCAGGGAGGCGCACCTGCTCTTAAAGCTGCCACAACAGGGACGGACGCACCAGTATAACCAGCACCGCAAGTTCGAAGCCGAACAAGACAGGCAGGAAAACTAATCAGCGAAGACTGGCAGCAGTCCAGCGAAAACGTTTAAGCTCTGCAACGCGCAGCCCTAAACCCCAAACCCTAAACCGCTAAACCCTATACACCCTAAACCCTATAACCCTAAACCCCGAAATCCTAAACTAAACCCCTAAACCCCCAAGAGATAAACCCCTAGACAGCAGCTGCCTGTGCGTGGCCTTTGGCCTCCGCTTTCTGGTGATTACCTGCAGCACGAATTTCCCGAAGGGAAGCGTTCTATAAAGGTTCTATTGCTTGAAGGATCTGGGGACTTCGTAAGTAAAGTTATAAGTACCCTAATTGGGTTTATAAGTAGTTATACGTATAGTTGCCTGATTTATAACCCTAGTTTCTAAGTCCCATGACCCCTCAAGTAGGGTCCTATATGGATACAACATGATACTTGTACTACAAGGGTTCTATAGAGTACAGGGTTTAAGGGTCCCTGTACTCATACAGTATGTTGTTTGGTCGTAAAGTGTCCCTATGGATACTTCAGAGCCAAAGTATTGCATGCGGGAGGTAGGAGTCAGGCAGTCCGAGCGTTTAGTCGGGATGCAGTGGTTGGGGGATGTAGGCCTTAGGCTTGGAGTGAGGCAGACTGGAGCTGGAAAGACCCCAATCAATCCTAAACTCCAAACCCAAAAGCCATGAATCCTAAAGCCTAGCCCGAAACTCCTAAACCGGAAGCTTGACGAACCAGAAACACTAAACTGAATCCGCTCCGGGGGGGTTTCTTCGCCGAGTGGCAAAGAATGGCGACCTGCCTGTTGGCATCGTTGTAGAACTGAAGGAGCTGCTCCTGCACTGGCCACTACGGTTTAGCGGTTTGGTGTTTTAGGGGTTTAGGGTTTAGGGCCTTTACGGTTTAGGGTTGAGGGCCTTTAGGGTTTAGGGTTGAGGGCCTTTAGGGTTTAGGGTTGAGGGCCTTTAGGGTTTAGGGTTTCAGTGTGGGTTTAGGCTGCTTCTCCGAAAGCCTCCCCAAGTATCAAGCCAACTCGCGGCAAGTATTTCAACCTTGGCTACGACGCTAAAGCCTAAACCGACTTGTACTTAAAGACCTTTAGCCTTCGGGCCTACACTGCTCTAGGCCCTAAACTCCGAGCCTACACGCCGAACCCACTAGCCCTAGTCATGATTCAGAAAGCGATAGGCTGAGGTCCCTGAAAGCACTCCTGAGACAACTGAGACCTCTTGGACACGTCGAACTTGTTCAGCTCATCCCTTGGCGCAGAGGACATCGGGGTTCTATTCCCTGGGATGCAAATTTCGCAAATGTCAGAAGACGACTAAAGAAATATCTACATGAGTTACATCATATGAAGTAATAAACGCATGTAGGCACATATATGAACGTGTGTGTGTGTGTGTGTGTGTGTTATAGACACATGTGTATATACGCGTGTGTGTATGTGTGTGTGTGTGCGTGTGCGTATATGTATGTGTGTATGTATGCATGATGTAGCATGTTTATATATACATCACATATATATATATATACACATACATACGTATACACATACGTACATACATGTATAGAATCCCTGCTCTATTTATACCATCTTGCATGTCTCAACTGTACTAACAAGATGAATTGCGAGGGAAGGACGTCTGCAGTGTCTAGTCTTTACAGTCGTGCAGGGCGCAAAGCATCAATCGTGACATCCCCACAACGACAGCCCAAGGGTGTATGCTCTCGCGACCACACCTCAGGAGACGCGTATACACGCTCGCCATTAAACCCTGGTGTAAACCATACCTGCACAACATGGGGACATGGAGATCGTGAAGAGACCCTAAAGGCCCTCAACTCTAAACCCTAAAGGCCCTAAACCCCTAAACCCTAAACCCCTAAACCCTCAAGCCTAAACCGGCTTCACGGCTTCCCGGAGGGTGGCAGCAGGACAGCATCCTCCAGCTCTGCCCATTCTGCCGCCAGAAGCGCGACACCGAATTTGAGCTGACTAATCTTCAAGCCGACAGGTCCCTAAACCTTGAACTCTAGCAACTGCACATGTTACCCTTCAACTTTAGGGGGCTTGTGGTCCTGAGATGAGGATTTCAGGGGCTCTATCTCACAGAACCATCCAGCAAAGGTTGAGTTTTAGCATGCGCTGTTGACGAAAAATCTGTTGGGACTCATGAGGTTACCAACCTGCAATATATACATCTCTGCAGCTGAGCATCTGCAGCGTGTACGAGGCGTTGTAGGTACGGAAGACTTTCGCAGAGAGATCTTCCATGAAGTTCTTAAAGTATTCCTGAGTCAGAAGCAGATGAGCACGTTTCAGAAGAGTTCGGCGATGATCAATCCCTCCCGTGGATCAGCTTAAACAGAACAACCGCCAGCTTGCCTGGACGAAGGCATGGCTTAGGGCTTCAGGCTGCAAGTTTGAGGTTATAGGGAACTCCAGAAAGTTGGAATATGGATTCAGGGTAGGATACCCTATAATATACCATAGAAGGGTTTAGGATAATCATATTCCAACTTTCTGGCTTTTACTTTAAGGGTCCAAGTACCCAAATACTAGGTTTCAATTTCCGAAAACCATTCAGAGTATGGATTTTGGGGCCTAAAACCCTACTATTTGGGTACTTGGACCCTCTGGGTTTAGGGGGGGTTAAGGGGCTTGGGGTTTATGGCTTAAGCTTTTTCAGCTGTCGCAGGCTTCCTTAGGCCCAGAAGCGTTCAGATCTGCGGGCGAGATCTTGTCGAAGACCTGATCCTCTTGCCTTGGTAGAGTTTAGGATTTAAGGTCTAGAGTTTAGGATTTAGGGTTTAGAGTTTGGGGTTTAGGATTTGGGGTTTAGGACTTAAGGTTTAGGGTTTAGAGTTTAGGATTTAAGGTTTAGAGTTTAGGATTTAAGGTTTAGAGTTTAGGGTTTAGGGTCTAGGTAGTCAGAGGATCAAAAAACTCGGACTGCGTTTTTGAGACTATGTCCTCTCATCCTCAAGGTCCCTGAGGCTCAATGTAGCCATACAGCATAGACTTCGGCCCTGATGTACCCCTATAGGGACTATACTTGAAGGCCGTAGTGTATACGGTTTAGGGTTTTAGGGTTTCAGTGTTTTAGGGTTTTAGGGCTTGCGGGTATGGGTTCGTGAACCCTTAGAACTGTCTCACAACCGCATGGGGCGTCGACGACAAATTGGCAACACACGAGGAGCCACTGAGATGTTCCTGTTCGAAGCCTCGGTTCTACAGCGCATGACGGTGCACCCGAAGCTACGGAACTTCATATTCCGCCCTGTTATGTAATTATTGGCAGCTGCCAAGGACCAAGTATTTTAAAGCCTTGGAATTGAATTTGATGGCGCAGGTGCAAGATCTGCACCGTGTATCAATAACCCACCTTACAACAACAGTCCAATGCTCAGGATGTATACGCCATGTGATTTCATGCTTTAGCGATACATCAACCCCCAAAAGTAGCTAAAATAATGGCCCAACTCCTATAAAGGGCCACTATTCTACACACCTTAAAGTAAAAGCCAGAAAGTTGGAATATGATTATCCTAAACCCTTTATGGTAAATTATAAGGTATCCTACCCTGAAACCATATTCCAACTTTCTGGGGTAGTTAGGCTTCGGATGCCGGTTCTATGTTCCCGGAAGCCTGAGCTCGTTCTGCGGCCGTGAAGCTTCTTGCCCTTGATGAAGCCTTGAACATTGTCGAAGACCTGCGAGCGAAGTTCCCCAAAGGGTCCTAAGTACCTATAAGGTTTGTAATAGTAGGAATTGCTACCATGGTTTGGGAAAGGCGCCAAGTTCCCCAAAGGGTCCTAAGTACGTAGCTCCCCCCCAATGTAGGCACTTAGGATCCTTTTGGTTCGAACCCTTTGGGGCTTTGGAGTATGTCAAGGCTTCCGGTTTGGAGTTCAGGGATTTGGTCGCCTCCAATCCACAAGCCTGCATGAAGCCATGCGATCCAAGCTCCAAAGCTTTATCAACCCTAAACCCTAAACCCTAAGCCCTGAACCCTAAACCCTAAACCCTACTTGTGGCGCATCCCTCGCCTGCTTGGCCACTTCGACGCTGTTCGTGTAACGGATGGAATCCTGCAAAGTCATACCCTAGGCTTCCGGGGACCTATTTTTGGGGTCCTTAAGGTGTCTAGGGCCGTAGTTAGAAGGTCCTGGGAAACATGGGAATAGTGACACCTTTTCACCACTTCCCTGTTCGAGGGGGTCCCGCAGGCGAAGAGTCAGAAGTGCCAGCACTTAATTTCAGCATCCATGTACATCGTACATGGTCATAGAAGAGGTACTAAACTCACATGGGCATGGTCAACGAAGAATTACGAGCTCCTTACCCAGGAAGTCGAGGTGGACGGTGTGCGGCGGCGTAAGCTTCCTGTCGCCAAACACGCTCTAGACTCTAGACCCCGACCGAATTCATCAAGAAGCCCACGCCATCTATTTCTGGATCCTTCACTCAGAGCTTAAACCTGCACCCTGAAAGGATAACCCTTCTGGTGCAGCCAAGACCTCGCTGCGGGGAGATGTTTACGATAAGATCAACAGTTGGTTCGCAGGCTCTTACAGGGGAAGCCTGTAGGCTTCGCAAGCCACAGATTGCTTTGGATGTTCTGAACTTGATGTTAAACACTTGTTAAGGAGTTGAACTGAATAGTTGCGCAAAACCCTCAGAAGGATTCCTCATGTTGGACAAACCACCATTCACGTCAAGGCTTGCTGGATGGTGGAGGCCCTCTTCCGTGATTCCTTTGATTCCCTTGACTTCATGGATGTTCAATGGGGGTCATCGAGTGGTTCGACGGAGATTTGGTGATGGTACAGAAGCCCTACAAAACTCTTGGACTTGGACTTGGCTGACTCGACCCTGGATGTCATAGAGAACCTGAATAACCAGGCAAGTTCATGCGGAACTACAAAAGTTTTGTACGGAACTACCATGTCCCAAAAAACCAAAACCTTCGACACTGAGCCCATAACAACCCTAACCAACCACACAGCAGAGCAAGCAGGCTCAAACCTGATTCGATTCCGTTACGCTAACCGAAGGTCACTTCGCCGGGAGGTGGCATCGCAAGAGGCCGTAACATATGCAGGCTGAGCCCCACGTGCTAAGAGGAGGTGGTTTCTAAGCAGCCATCTTCCGGCGCACCCCAAACAGCAACGCCGAAACCGATCTACATAGTCGAAAGGCTCTCACAATCCAATGCTTCACCTGACGCGCTGTCATGATTTGCTGTCACACAGACCTGAATCCCGAGTATGTCGTTGGTTCGAACCGACATAACCCAACAGCCAAGTCTGCGACTATTCGTCTGTTGCCCCACATTGGCCCGAACCCCAAGCCCAACAATTCTAAGCCGACAAACCTGTAAACGCTATGCCCAGACAATCGAAACTCAAAACCCAAATCGCTGGACCTCAAAACTTTAAACCTAAGCCGGAACCCCGAAACTTCGCACTCGAAACCCAAATCCGAAATCCTAAACTTAAAATCTAAACCAGATCCGAAATCCAGACCAGAAGAGCGGCAGGTGCTCTACGCGCAGAGAGCAGCAGCCCACAGTATCGGCCTCCTCCTCTGTATCCTGGTGCTTTCGAAGGAACTTTTAGTCTTGAAGCAATGGTGATGACGGGGTTTTATTTGGTTTTAAAGATTGTCTGAGCCATATATATATATATATATACACATGTATATATATATATATATATGTATACATGGAGAGAGAGAGAGAGAGAGAGAGAGAGAGAGAGAGAGAGATATATATATATATATATATATATATGGGTGTTCGGATACAGGACTTGGGCTCAAAGCTTTGGATTTGGGGCTGCAGGTGTTTGAAGATACCTCTCTTGCCACTGGACCGGATCCGGCACAACAGTCGTGAGCTGAAACATTACATAGATGTGTCGAATCAGCTTGTTTTCTCTACGGTAGTGTGTTCGTCGATTCTACAGGCCCTACCCTAAGCATCGGTGCCGTGTATTCTTGCGAATCCGGAAGCCGCGCAACGTTCATACCCCCCGACGCGCAGCCCCAGTGTTGCTGGTCCGCGACTTTGCAGTGCCAGACCAACCTTATGTCTCACTGGCCCGAAACCCAAGGAAATAAAAGTTGAAACTTTCAGAACCGACCACCTTCTCAGAACCCCAAAAGTTGAAAAGTTGACAGCCAAGAAGATGTAGAATTTGCTGATAAACATTCAAGCCACCGAAAAGTGACCTGCCCAACCGTGCGGTTTTATGAGCAAGAGCTAAAAGTTTCTGACCCAATGCAGCATCTAACGCTGCCATAGTATCCCGAGCATGACTAAACCTTACAAACCTAAACCGGGAATCGAGGAAACCCCGGGCAGCTCGAGACTGCTGGCCTTCTCACCGCCAACTCGCAGTGCGAGCTTGTCGATGAAGTAGGTCGCCGTGGCCTTTCAGGTTTAGAGTTTAGGGCCGCCAGGAAAAAGGTGGACTCATGCCTATGTGAATGACAAGTAGCATCAGAGTGGATGCTCATAATCTGAAAACTGTGCTTGGGGATAAAGGCAACTTAACATATTAGCACACCATGCAGGCGGAAGCACGGCCATGTTCGCTCTCAGCTTAATATGACGTCCAGAGCTCGGCTAGCACAACAACACACCGGTTTACTCAGATAGATTGTAGCAGCCCTACTCAGCACAAAATTTACACATATGACTACCAGAGCAGGATTTGCAGGAATGGTGTCCGTAGCTGACAGGGTGCGATTCCCCAATACTGGGACGGTATTCGAGGACAGTTTGAAGGGTTGTATGGTTCGGAGGTTCAGCGTTTAGGAGCTTAGGGCCAGTCAGCTAGTCCATAATCCAAGGCCTGGCAACTCTACTCCGTACCCCCCGCCCTCCCGAAGCCCTGAAACCTGGCCTTCTGCCGATCTGCAACGTTCCTGCTCGTCCACATCTTCTCATAGGAGGTGCGGATGCTGCCTCAGGTTATCTCGCAGCTACTCACTTTGAGGTTTTGGGATCAGCCCCAGAGGCCCTAGCCCAAGCAATAATTCCCTCGCCCCAAAGACAGCAGGTCCAAAGGGTCCTAAGCACCGGCAAAGTATACAGTAGAGTTATTATAGGAACTACGATTACGGCTGGGGTTGGGTAAGTTTCTCATAGAATGTAGGTACTTGGAACGCTAAACCCTAGACTCTACTCCCTAAACCATACAGGTACTTAGGAGCCTGTGGGAATGCGCAAGCGCTCCACGGACGAAACCGGACAAGCTTCTCAAGCTGCTCAGAGACAGGTCCTTTCAAGCCTTTAGGCGTGGGCTCCGATGACAGTTTTACTCATTGTTGTAGATCCTTCGATGGGCTTCCATTCAAGATCCTGTCATATAAACCCGGCTAAGGATTCAAAGTGCGGAACCACAATGTAGACTACATCAAAGTTGCTAGCTAGTTGTAAGACTCATTTAAGTCCCGAATATAGAATTATTGGGATAGTACCAACAACATAGGTTCTGGTGAGTCAGTTGAGTATTTTAGGTGGGCTTGCGTAAGCTTCAGGTTTAAGGTTGAATCCTCAACACGACGGACGATGACGGCTGCACTCGCCGGGAAGGACCATGCGAACTATCCCTTCCTTGGATTTGGGGTTTAGCATTTATGGGGGAGATGCTAGGATCTCCTTAGGGATATCTCATTGGCGCACCACGCCTCTTCTGAAAGAAACAGCCATCTATCCGTCCGCCAGGCCACCGATGATTCTCACCAAGCGCTTGGCACGATCGTACTTCAGCATATCCTGAGTTCTCATGATTCTCGAAGTCTCCTTCATTGGAGGACCTGGATCTCGGGCAATATAGAGGCCTCTATTCTTAGCATAGAACTATGATGGGGAGAAAACAAACTATTTAGGCTTCTACAGTAACCCTTCCAACCTGACTTCCAAACGCGAGAGGGCTGCTTGAATTTGCGTCGGACGGCAGCTGGCTTCCGACGTTTTGAGCAAAAGCGGGGGTACATAATTACACGGCCAGTCATACGTCTTGGTATCTCACCCTGCTTCTCTGGCGATGCTTCTGGCTACCCCAGGACACTGGTTTTACTTTGTAAAGCTCACTATTGAGAGATTGTTCACAGTGATCTAACCTGGCAATGGTGTGAGAAAAGCTTTCTTGGTGTGCGTGCGCAGCTTCCTGAGCATTGCATGTAAAATGGTCGCCTACACGATCAAGACCGGGCTCGCTGTGAATGTGCTTAATGGTTATGCATTAAAACCCCGCCTGTGACCCAAGTGCATACGTGCAAGATTCAAATCACCACAACCTGAAATTTGCAATCGCACCTGACTGTATAGTCCATACATACACTCCGGATGAAACAAGCTCACTCGGCCCCTTACAGCCGCTCAAGCCCTGAAGCCTAAGTCACATATTTTGGCACCTTCCAGCCTAGGCCCCCTAAACAAGGACTAGGCGCCGGCTGCCCCTTCAAGCCGCTAGTAGCTGCGAAACTGACCTCGGAACAAGTCGAAGGGCATGTTGTTTGCAATTTGGTTCGGGGCATCAGTGCTGAGAGTGTAGGGCTTGAGCGCTTAATGCTTGAACGGTTTCGGGTTAGCTTGGAGAGCATAGTGCAGAGCGCTTCGGATCCTGTATCCACCAAAGAGTCCTAAGGACCTATACACTGTTCCGAGACCGAGGTGGAAAAAACACATGCAGACTCTTGAAAAGCTGGTGCAGTAAACCATGAACATCTCGCCGTGGTCCTGGGTTTGAGGGACGAAGAATCAAGTCCCGGGCTTCCAGGGTTCGAAGTTTGGGGTTTTGGGCTTAAGACAAAAAGTCTCCTACACCCGAATCTTCGAAAGCTTAAACCCAAGCTGCAGACCTTGAATTCTGTTGCAACCCTGGCAACTCGAAGCCTCAGCTACAAAACTCGCACACCCCAGGTCTACTTCTAATTCCCATAAGATAGGGGGCTCCAGAGCTAGAATAGGGTTTGGGGGTGGATTCTAGTAATTGCTGATATCCGTAGCCGCGAGGAGGTCAACCTTCTTGTGGTGGGATTGTACTGGCCCTGATTTGTCAACTGAAGCTGCCCTAACATGGAAGCCTTATCAACCTAGGAACCTAAGACATATTGAGAAAACATTGTTACTTGAAGCTGCGCTAAAACTCTGAACCCTTAGGGCTACTACTACTACCACCACCACCACGACTACTACTACTACTACTACTACTACTACTACTACTACTACTACTACTACTACTACTACTACTACTACAGACAAGCTGAGAAAGCACCGGTGATTTAAAGCTGCGAGCTGGCGGCGTACTTTGCTTCGGTCAGAAGGCCGTCCTCAAAATTGGCGATCCTCGCTCATTAGGGTTGCATGCCTTAGAGTTTAGGCCTTAGGGTTTAGGGTTACCCATAGGCCCCACAGTACTTCCTTTTTGTGATTACCTTATAGCATTCTACATATGAGCCCCAAAAAAGAACTGCTTTGGGGCCTTAGGGTGCCCTACGCACAAAAGGGTTGCGGCATGCCAAGGTAGGATTGGTTTTTAACAGGGAAACTCACGGGCTGCCTGCTTCTACGGCTTACCTTCGGATCCAATAACCCGTTCTCTGTAAAGGGTGATATGCTCAATAATTACGTGATCGTGACCTGTTGTGCTTTGTAGAGTTTGGGAATATAGATAGAGGTAGGAATGAGGATAAAGGGATTACAAGCTATAACTTTGTGTTGAGGGCTTCTGGGGTGGGAATAGAACTGTAGTTACTGTAGTTTCGGCGCTGCATGAAAACAAGCTGAGCCCTTGCAGCTCCAAACCCGAAGCCCTGCAGACACGTAGGCCTTAGCTGTGTAGTTTGGATTCAGATAGTCAGCCCTAAACCCCAATCCCTACATTGGGAGCATTGCGACAATTCTTCGGACTCCCCGCATCGCAAATAAGCCCGCATCAAACCCTGCGAGCCTTGCTGTGCTACTCACAGCTTGGGTTCGGGTTTATGGGTTCAGGGCGTAGGTTAAAAGGCTAAGCCAACCCTATGCGGCACGAAGTCTTGTCAGTACAGTCTCTTATACCAGGCTACTATGCAACACAGCCTGCCGCCAAAAGCAGGCAAGTACTCCACCGGAGCTTTGAGCATGGAGGCATGCCCGAGCGTTCGTGTTCAGCACCCCTCGAAACCTCAATGCCAAAATGCTAAACACTAAATCCCCGAACCCTAAGCTTCTTTCTAAAACCCTGAAGACATCAACGCGAAGCCTCTATAGTACGATAGAACCCTGCTTTGGAACCCTTAAGACTTAAAGCCCTACGTCTCCTATAGAAACCTTAAGTCCAAGGCACCACTGGACGGTATTCTCGTGCACGACGTCCCTCCAGGCGTGGCCAGGCATCCCGACCACCTTCAGAGGGTTTAGGGGTCAGGGTTGTAGGGTGTATCGATCCTAAATCTAGCCCATGCCTGAACCAGAGGCTCAAGATCCAAGTTCCAAATCCCACAAGCCTGAACCTCTTCATCGTTCAGAACCGCACCCTTCAGCCTGCCAAGAGCTTCACTGAACTGTGAACACCAACTGACCATCAGCACCAGGTTTCAGGTCAGGGTTGAAAGCTTGACCGGCCCGGAAGCACCAAATCACTCACTAACCTTTGTTGAGGCAATAAGCACAAAGGAAACAAGGACATGGGTGACCTCCGCAGAGTCAAAAATCCAAGCCGCTAAGCGTGCACAAAGAGGGCAGCTTCAAAGGTCCGAAATGCCCAAGCAATTTTTTACCCTGAGCGGGCGCAGGATTTAGGGCTAAGGACTTACAGCTGAGGTCTGAGGGTTAAGGCAGTTAAAACCCTAAACCCTAAACGGTTAAGGTCTGGCCTTGGGTACACATGCCGTCTCCCCGATGTTGAGCGTGACGCTCTCCGGGAACGTCCGCTTCTTCAGCAGGCCTGGCAGCTCTTTGTGCCAACTGCTCAGGATTGAAGGCGATGGGCCTGGATCGCAACCCTTAGCTTATGCACAGACTCCGAACCGAAAAGAACGTCCACCACGATTTCCAGCGAGCCCCGGGACGGGTCTGCATGGCTCCTTCTTGGTGCAGCGCGTGCGGTATCTGAGAGGCATGACCAAATACTGCTTGTTTCACACTTTATGCCATTACCCTGTAGAGTAGCTCGTATCCCCCAAACCTCCCATCGTAGGCCTAAGTTTTCTCAAGCAAACAGCAATCATCGCCAACCCCGACTGAACATGACAAAACATAAAGCAACAAAGCAGTCTACACGAACATCAACCGGCAACTCAAAGAATCATGCTCTCGCCCAGGAGCAACAACATGACTATCATCGGCATCATCGTCATCTTCATCACCATCATCCTCTGCGGCACCATCACTGTCACTGTCAACAGCATCACATACAAACATCCAGCACCGGCCTTAAGCATCTGCTCTGCAAGTGAACTCTACACTCTCACCAATAAACCTGAATCCCTGAAAAGTAGAGCCCCCCCACAGCCGCGGTGCCTTGTTTCGGATGCTCACCGCGGCCGCGGAAGAGCTGCGGCCTCTGATGCTGGGGAGCCGGGGAGCCATGAGCATCTGGGCTTTAGAGCTATGTGGTTAGAGTCCCCTATGTAAATAAGGGCGTTCGGATTTTAGAGGGTGGCTGGGGCAGCTCTGCAGTGCGGGCTCGTGTCGGGTTTACTGCAGGGCTTCGAAGCTTACAGCGCAAATTTTGGTCCCGCAAGGGCGCCAGGAAAATCTTGAACCATGAGCGGTTTAGGGTTTAGGGTTTATAGAACGAACCCATAAGCCCTAAGCTCCCCCCTCAAGTGAATGCGCCAAGTGTCGGCTCAAGCTTGTAGTTGCCCAACTTCTCGCGCACGCCGTTGACAATGGCATAGCTGAACCTGACTTGAGAAGGTTTAGGGTTTAGGGGCCTAGGGGTTAGGGGTTTAGGGCTTTAGTGAGGGTGCCTTCGTCAGGGAGTGCACACAACTTTTACCGATGAGCTTGACCCCATTTCTGCTATCATTGCACAGCCCACGCCAATACGCCTGACCCCGCTTCCCTGATCACATTTTTTCCTCGACTCAACCTCCATCTATCTTCCAGGAAAGTTGTTTTTGTTTATGGATGTTTTTCGGTCTGTATACTCTTACGAAGTACAAGGCCCTAGGGCCGTCAGTTCTGACATGCGATCCTCCACCGTGCTGGGGCTATGATGGCTAAAGGCTTACAAGGAAAGAATTGTTTGGTGTAATGGTCCGAGTAACCATGGAGTCTGTATTTTTTGGCCCTTCAGCTCCTACATGGAACCCATTTCTTAAATGGATCCCACAGGTCTTGCCACGGAGCCATTCAGTCTCCTTCGCATTCTTGGCCTTCTCCGCTTCCTGGGAACGAGGCTTTCGACAGTTGCGTTCGCGGCTGAGGAGGAATGGGTTTGGGGGTCCACAAGCAATTATAGCGTTCCCTTGAAATTCCCCATCCCCAAAAGAATAAAGTGATGATTCCACGGCCCGCACTGAACAACTACCCTCAGCCATAAATGTTGCGTTCCACTCCCGCTACCCCGAACTCATCTACAAGGACGTTTCTGGAGTTTCAAGATAACCTTGATCCTGACTTGGGAGACCAGCAAGCACCTAGCCATAAACACTCCTCCAAGGGGATGGGTGGACGAGCTGTTTGTTTCTGGGTTTGGGAGTTGCTACAGAAGCAGGTAAAACAGTCGAAAGGATCCTGTATACAACTATACCTGTAAACCCCAAGTTTTGAAACCGTAAACGCGAAAAAAACCTTCAAGCCCCAAAAACCTTAAGCTTGTAGCGAAGCCGTCCTTCTCTTCCTTGGTTCGGTTCAGCCGCTTTTGCCTTTCTGCTTCCCGGTAATCCTCGGCGGCTAGGGGTTGAGGGAATGATAGAGCTCTTTCAAGGGATTTCTTTGGGTTCTGCGAAGCTTTGGGGTTTAGGGCCCTACGGCTTCAGGCTCTTAGGGTTGTGGGTTTCGGTCCGGTTTAGGCTTTAGAGTTGGGCGGGAAGTCGGGTCGAAGTTGGCCGGTCTGGTTTGGGGGACGAGCTTTCCTGTGGTCCAGGGTTGAGGGTTTTGGGCTCATATACTTACTCTCAGCATTCCTACAATCCTATCTTAAACCGCACTTAACTAGATGCTGTCATACTGAGCCAGAGCACCGCCATCAGCGAGAAGTCGCACTTCTTGAAGTCCTGCCAAGCTTCACATCGAGTTTTGGGGATTGTTCGGGTTTCCCCGTTCGACAAGACTCTTATCCCGAAGTCCCACCTTATACTTAGGCCACCACAACCACTCCGCTGCACGGTTTCCTTAAACTCTATGCATTAGGGGTGTATATCAAGATCGTAAAGAAAACGCAATAAATAGGTTGTCGCAGTTTCAAGGTAACCTTTATACCCTCACGGACCCACGGCGGTCAAACCGTAGATCCGACGTCTTCAGCGATGATCTCTCTACATGATCCGTGAAAATACGAAACCTTAAACCCTAAACTCTAAACCCTAAAACTTACATCGAAAGGTCTGAAATCGCAATGAGGGTTGAGAGAGTCTTGCGGCTGCGGCGTTTAGGATGAACCGAAACCCTCCAGGAGCCTCCCAATCTCTCCTCCTGATCCTTATAGTAGAAGCCAGAAAGTTGGAACATCATTGTCCTCATGCCCTTAAGGTAAATTATAAGGGATCCTAGCACGAATCCTTCTAAAGCCGTGTTCCAACTTTCTGGCTTCTACTATAGATCCTATCCCCAGAAAGCCCGTTGTCCGTTGGATTCCGTACCTAGATACTACTGCTGATGGACAAAATCCTGCATGACCCTAAGGACTCTAAACTATGGGAACTGTGGTATATTCCTTATAATGGGTAATGCAGGATTTTGTCCGTCAACAGTATGAATATACTATCTCATACACTCCCAAACCCTACTCTAGCATGATTAAGGCCCCTCGGCTTAAAGTGCCCTCTCCTTGATCTTGGAGCCTTTCGGCAAGACTTCTTTGAATGTCTTCCAGAAGTTCCTGATCGACTCGGTACTGTTTAGTGTCCTAATTGTCGGGTATCAAGGGGAACTAAATTGCTAACCTTTTTGACATATAGGGATTATATAGAGGGACTATACTACCCAAAAAAGTTAAAGGTTGCCTACTCTACTACTAGGGCGTTTAGAGTGGAAGATGCAGGGTTTACGGTTCAGGGTTCCCGTATGCAGGGTTGGGGTTGGAGATTTGGGGTAGTGCCTGTGCAGTAGACCTTGAGGTTTCTGGATCAGGATCTCTTTGAATCACGGTTGGAAAATGTATCAACCACATATGTACTTAGGAATCCTTGCGACGTCCAGTACATCATGTGGCTGGTTCTCCGCATTCGAAGGTGCGACTGGATTGCTCGGGTCGTCACAACTCCCGAGCTACTGACAGCATGCCACAGAAGTTCCGGCAGCGCTCAAGACCCTGTTTAGCTCGAGTCGAAGCCCACAGCTGCAAAGCAGTCACGAGGGCTGCAAGGAATGGGTGGTTGTCAAAATTTGGGTCCCTTTATGGATACCCTAAATACTAGGTGAAGTATTAGAATAAGGACCCAAAAGGGGACCCTAGTTTTGACAACCACCCGAATGATGGAAGACAGGCCCGATGGAGCCATGGCGCTTGATGAAAATGTCCTTGGTCTCGTACGGCGTCCCCCTGACCTTGGCTATGACAGGGGGGTGGCTGCATCATGACATGTGCCAGAAGCATTTGGAATTTGGGGGACCAAGAATCCCAGAGTGGGGGTGCAAGGCTCAGGGGTTGGAGTTTGACGTTGGGGTCTTGGAACTCGGCTAGGCGTTTAAGCTGCGGGCCTGTAGGGCAATCTGTTTGTCGAGTTGTCCTGGTCTTGATCCCCATTCCTTCGTGCTGACACAAGGCATTGAAAAGTCTGATTCAAGCCCACATGCTTCTTTTCTCGCCCTCCCCCACATCTTTGCTGGTTTGGCAACATGAGGATATGCTGCGTCCTGCAGGACACGGCAAAGCAGCTCACCTCTCAAGGACCATTGCTCCAAAGAGCCTTGAGATCGAAACCATGAGTCCTCATACGTAATGCGATAATACATTACAGCATAACATAGTATCACAGCATATCACAGCATGTCATGGCATCTACCATAGCATGTCATAACATACAATAAAGCATGTCTTCATAGTACTTAAACATACAAAACATCAACCCCAAACCCTAAACCCTGAACCCTAAACCCTGAACTCTAGACTCTAAACGCTAAACCGGACGAAGAGCCGACGTCCAGTAGTAGGCGATCTCTTCAGCTTCAGGGGGCAGCTCCACGCGCTCCCCGTCGTAGATCAAAGGGACCCGGTGGGGTTCGTAGTCCTAAGTCTCGTTGAAGGTTTTCGGCCTCAAGCTTTACGGTTTCATGCGGGGCTTTTGATGTTACTTTTGGGGCATTGGGTTTATTTTTGACGGCTAGGGCAGCAGACTGTCGCTTTTTCGGTTGTCTTTTTTGGAAGGGGGTGGCCAATTCAGACTAAAGCTTCGGAAAGGACACCTGCGGCTTTGCGGCTTTGGGGATCATGGGGCTGGCCTTGGTTGAAACACAAAAGAACTCGAGAAGCCTTCAAGAAAGGAGTAGCGGGACTTGCTGTGGCTACAGCTACCTAGAAGTCACAACTCCACTTGCGGTATGTGTAACACCAAGGAACTCCCAAACCCAGACCCTAAACAGCTGAAGGAAGAGCCCTGAGACCTCAAGCCCTCGCATGCGCGAAAACCCGAAACTTAAACCGGTCCAAAACCCCAAGCCCAATGCTTATATTATTACTATTACAACTACCATTAATGGAACTATAAATACCCAGGAGCTGGTGCAAAAAGCAGACCATGGTGCTCAAAGGTGTCCTGAGGAAGCGCAAATTTTGCGTCGAGGCTTTGGACCCAGAGACTCCAATATCCCTTAATTACGGACTATTCCTTAAATTATAATAGGATCCCTAACATGATTTAAAGAAAATTCCTTGATTAAGGGATATTGGAGTCTCTGGGGAGTTTACGGGCTTTCAGGGTGTGGGTTTTTTGGGGTCTACGTAGGTCATTAGCCCCGGGCCAACATAAACCCCCAAAGCCCTTCTGTACATAAACCGTGAAGGCCTAAAGACCTACATAAGCCCTAAAGGCCTAAAAAGGGTTTCTGTAGGTGTTTAGACCTTTAGGGCTTGGTTTTGTTAAGTGCATTTGGGCCCTCTTTGTGCCGCTATACGTGTAGGGCTTGGGGCTTTAGGGTTGAAGGCTTTAGGGGTTGTCGGCTTTAGGGTTTAGAACTCAACGTTGTGGGCTTTCGGATTTCCGGGTCTAGGGTATAAGGGCTCGGTATAGCTTCGGGTTTGAAAGATTTTTCGGCGTGCCAGTGCAAAGCACAATCTGCAAGACCGACACAGGACGCCGCCTAGCGCTCTAGCTTTTCCAAGTAGCGCCCTACAGCACGTCATGGTAGAAGACCCATTGCACGAAGCCTAGAGGACCTCGGAATTAGAGACGACTCATGGTTGACTCAGTTGAAGCTACCAAAACCGACACTCACACCCCAGAGCATCTTCCCACAGTACCCCTGTAGCAATGAAAACCGAGAGCCTGTTGGGTAGTCTCGGTGCGGTCGGCAGGCATGTTCCGGAGGTGCAAGACACTATGCAATGTGTGTCAGAATTTCAACCAACCCCGGCACATCCGACAAAGGAAACACAATTGCAAATACGTTAGACCACATCGCCAAAACAGAAGCCTTCAACAAGCACTCGTGAGCCCCTCACCTGAGTTCCGGAATACATAGGGTTTCGGGGTCAGGCTTCAGTGTATCAGAACACCAATACAGCCTTTGGGAAAGGTTTCTTGCAACGAGCAGCCCACTTCTTCGCACCGCGCTTGCCGCTTTCTGCGCCATCCTCACAATGTACTCATACATCATGATGGGCTCAGGGTTTATAGGCCCAAGGGATTCAGAAGGGTTCTGTAACATGTGACGCGTAATACCAAGACTACAACATGTAGTACAGTTGTTGGGAACACTAGCGTCTTATTCTCTACTTACATTTTAGGGTCCTATGTATATCACAATACCAGTTCTGTGGCTTTAGGGGTGCAGGGTTCAATTTTCAAGGTTTAATATCCTTTCACAGGTTTCGGAAGTGCGAAGGGGGGTTCTAAACTCATTCCATCTCAGGTGATCCACATGTTAAAGCTAGCTCCTATCCCGCCCCTTTGCAACACCGAAACCTGTAACCTAAACCCCAAAGCACCCTCTAAGAGCCCATAAAGGAAACGTTAGAGGAGCCCTGGAAATCCAACACCCTGAGCCCAAAAATCCCGGAAGCCAACAGCAAAACAAAACCCGGAGTCCTCCCTTTCCCACCAGCGGTTCACTGGCTCGTAGTCGTCTTCAGTCTTCATAAGGACCTTCCAAGAAGACGTCGTTAGGCCGGTCACAATAACGATAACAAGTCTCTGCGTATTTAATAATCATAACAAAATTGTGTAATTTCAATGTGTGTGTATATGTATATGTATCTGTGTATATATATATATATATATATTATATGTATATAGAGGGATTGAAAGTGGTGTTAAACAAGGTGCTTACGAGCTGGACGGCATTTCGAAGCCCTAAACCCTGCGCCAGCCCAGTTATCCTCTGTTCTACCCCAAACCCCCTTGTCAAACACCCTCCCTGCTCTGCGAAGGCTACCTTGAAGGGTCCCAAACCCTGAACCCTGAACTCTGAAGGATTGATGTTTAGGGTTCAAGGCCTGGAGCCCTACACCCTAAACCCTTAGGACTGTTTAGGCTTTGGTTCCAAAGAAATTCGGTCAGCAGCTTACTGCTTCGAGATGAGTCCGAAGCCTAAGCCACTGAGCTGCGAGGGCCCTGTAAGGGTGCTATGCTAGGTATCGGTTTCAACAATCCCCAACACTATTCAACACTAGGGCTCTATACTGAACAACAAGGAAGTTAACACTGATCCCAAATCGATACCTAGTGTAAGGCTTCTCCTACTACTACTACTACTACTACTACTGCTACTACTACTACTGCTACTACTACTACTACTACTACTACTACTACTACTACTACTACTACTACTACTACTACTACTACTACCAAGCCTTGTCAAGGTTTTAGTGCCTCATCAGGGTTGAAGTTCAGAAGGCTTTTGATTTAGATGGTGTTATACGGCTCAAATGGATTCAAAAGGTATAGAATCGGGTTTTGAGAGTCTACGAGTGAAAGGTTTAGGGATTGGGGCGTAAGGGTTTAGAGTTTCGGGTTCTTGCGCTTGAAGGAATATTAGTGTCTATGGGCGTGCGGCTTAAGAATGTAATAGAAGTAAAGGATACTCACAGCAATAGCCAACGTCAGAATGGCAGCTCGCTGTCACATGAGTCGCAGGTCCGATGATGGTAAGCACGAGCGAACATCTGCAGACTATTTCAACTCACTAAACCTTAAATCTTTAACCCCTTGCCTCTAAAGACCTCCACTTCCATGCCTCGCCTAAGATGCTTAAGGCTTAAGCCGCGCAAAAATCTCTCACCACCAACACATCAAATACTCATCAAATTCAGCACTGCCACACCAAAAATCAAATCTCGAGATTAAGCGCTGTCCATAAAGGGGTGACGATGCCCTCCCTCCCTTCAGAGCCTTCAGTTCTGGCTGTGATTGTGCTGGCGCTTTCCGCTTCTTGGATGCCAGCATCTTCGTGCCTTTCCTGCCATGGTTGGCTCTCAAACCAAGGGTACCTTGCTTGGGTGTCCTGATAATGAAGATTCATAGGGGTATCTTATTATGGGGTCCTTATAAGAAGGATCCTGCCATTTAGGGTACTACATACGAGAAGTTAGGGTCCACAGGTGGGGTGTGCAGCTCAAACCCCGTCGGTCTGGGAAGGTTTCTGGGATCCACTTGCAGGTGATTTGAAGGCTTCAAATGGCTTGCTCACATGGGGCTTGCAGGGCTTTTGTTTCGGGTAAAGCCAAGGGAGGGGCGGCCAGGGTCTGCGTTTGGCGAAGACTGGGAATCATGGAATCGGGATTGTGTGATGTCCAAGTGCAGCAGTGAATCACGCCGAGGCATGTCTTCTGCACATGTTGCATGCTCAGTTGGTGCTACGACTACGAGAACGCCCCAGCCCACACTCCCTGGATTCGCAGGGGGATTCTATTCACGCGCCAATGAGCTCATTGCGAACGGCAGCGAGCGTAGCAGCCGAATTTCAAGCGCAGCCCGACACTCGACAATGTTTGCCGGCATTTGAAGGACGAGGTCGGAGTTTAGAGGCACTTGATAGGGCTCGGAGACATTGTTGCAAGGAAGCTCAACACAGTATGTAAGCCGGCTTAGACCCCACTTCGTTTGCTAAGCTTCCAACCCCCCGAAACGTAAAAACTGTAATTTTATACCCTAAACCATAAACACACACACACACACACAACTTGATGAACCCTATTATGGGACAAACCCTACTAAACCCCCATAGGCTAAAACCCCTTTTGGCCTCCTCTGACAACTGGAACACTTCAAGTTTTGATGCGGTCAGGGTGCAAGCCGATCTTGTGAGCCTTCTTCCGTTGATCAGCCAGCCTCATGTTCGGACTATGCCGGGTTCGCCAGCGTCCCCTCGATTTTAAGGCCGCCCTTTTTGTCCTGACATTCCTTTTTAGGGCAGCCTCAAAAGAAAGAAAGCGAAAGACTACCCCGAGACTCGCAGCCCTTAAAGCCCGAGGCATGATAGGTTCCCCAGAAAGGGTAAGGCTGCGAGTGTCATATAGGGGCGCTAAGGTTTGGGGATACATTATGCTGTAATTATATCAGGGATTACTAAGTTAGAATCAGGGAATAGAGTGAACACTTACTTAAGCTTCAAAAGTAGGCCTAACCCATCAAGCCTCGTCGAGACATGATATCGAATACGGTTAGGTCTTGTCAGCTGTTCTCGGCAAAAGAAAATGCCATAACAAACACACACACACAATCACACACACACACACACGTGCACACACACACACACATTGAATTTCTTGCGCGATCGGTAGAAGCCTACTGCACTGAAAAACCTGGAAACCCAATGAGATTACGCCGGGCGTCTGCTTGAGCTTCTGCTCCTTTCGCAGCTTCCTCTTCTCCTTTCGTTCCTTCTTTTCTTTCTTGTCTTTTTTGTCCTTCTTCTCCTTCGGCTCTTTGTTGGCTTTGTCCTTCTTGTCCTAAGTCTTCTGAGAATTGTCGAGTAACGACTTACCAAGCGAGATTGTCGAACCCAAGGACACGCACAAGGGTTTGCATGACTTTTATTTGCCAACATCTTCAAGAAAGGCTTATCGAAATAGAGGACGCCCACGCGAGAAGTAACAACGCCGTAACTGTTCGAAAGACACTTGTCTCGTGCAATGGGGACTCTAACAGGATGGACGAGCTCCGAACCCCAGGACAGAAATGCCAATGTGGGAGCCGAGAATCTTTCTTTTCCTTCTTATCCTTTTTATCCTTCTTCTCTTTCTTCTGCTTGCCCTATCAAACAGGTTGACAAGTTTGGGCGAGCTGGGTCAGAGGTTTGGGTGTAAGATGAAGGGCAGCATCAAAGGTGTCGGGCTCAAGTCTTTCTCTGAACTTTATGCCGCTTTCGGGCGTGCAGGAAGCCTGCTCGTTTTATTTTGATTCCCGGTTTGAGTTTGAACTTCAAGGTGTTGAGCTGGACCCCTGAATCTTCAAAAACACTGTAGGACCTGAAGCAAAACATATGGCACCCCTAATTTTCGGAAACTCTCAGATATCAATCGCTGGAACCCGTGGCAGAAGAAGCCTCAGCCTTATCCTTCTTCTCCTTCTGAGCAGCGTCGCCAGTTTCAGCCGCCTCCGTTTTCTCCTTCTTTTCCTTTTTCTCCTCGCGGGATTTCGAGAAAATGCTCACATCTCCCAAACGAGAGTCCGCAAGCTCCACTGGTTCCCGCATTTAGAGGTGTCGGTCAAACTTTCTGGCAGAAGCCATGAACCCGTAAGATTTTCGGCAGCAAAGACTTGATCCCCGGCCTTCTTCTCTTTCTTCTCCTGCAGGCTCAAGGGATTGGGGGTTTAAGGTCTAGGATCCGGGGGGCTTCAAGAATGCCTCAACAAATATTGGGAGGCTGTTTTTTGCACCCTTGCAGAACACGTATTGTCCTCTTGGCGATGCAGTCCCTGTAGGATAGAACCTGAACCCTGACTGAGATCTAGACTGTTTCCAGCAACGAGCCGAAAGTATACGTTACTTTACGACGTTACTTTACGATCCTGTGCTTGTTCTGGAGTTCAGCAACGATACTATTGACGGAGGCTCCGTAAGTTACATGATTCGTCGGCTCTGAAGGTGGATAACTGGATAATGAATGAGGATCCCCGAACCCGGACCGTAAACGCTGGATCGCTTACGATGACGATCCCTGCCAGTGCTGGAAGATGCTGGAAGGATCGTTGGACACAGTAATAAGGTAAAAGCCAGAAAGTTGGAATATGATTATCCTAACCCTTCTATTCTAAATCATAGGGTATCCTACCATGAAACCATGTTCCAACTTTCTGATACTTTCTCAAGTTGTAATTAGGTACATACCTAGTAAGTGTATAATCACTCGCGCTGTACAGGCTACTCATGTCTCTGCTTACAACATCCTGCAGAATACTTACTGAGCAGTTTGAGATGTTCAGCTCAGCATGGTTTTGAGGCTCATGTTTTCCCCAAAGGGTCCTATGTACTGTTAGGGGGATACTACATTCCACTATATAGGTACATAGGACCCTTTGGGTTCGGTCAATCTTATCTTCTAAGCAAGCCAACACCTAACTATAAACACATCTCTTGTTTATGATCAGCTCCAATGCCAGCCCGTCCTTCTTGTCCTTTTTATCGTGGCCATTGGTGGTCTCCATGGCTGTCTGCATTGTGATCTGCTGACACGCTGCACAGCACCAGGGTGCCCAAGTAGAAACTCTATGTCGGCTTCGGCTGCAAGATCATCTTTGACTCTTCTGCCGGCTAGCTGGGGCTCTATTGTGCAACTCTATCCACGGGTGCAGTTCTGACCATTTCAGGAGTCAACAGAGTTCTATCATCTCCCTGGAGACCCTTGCAGCCCTGATGCCTTAACCATAGCTTTCCGGCAAGAGGGGGGCATTGGGGCTTGCTCTGTGTTGGGGTCTGCTCTCTACCTCCAGGCGCAACCTGCAACCTGAGCCTGAGCCACAGGGCAGTTGAGGCGGATTTCCCAGCCCTTGCGCTGCGGAAGTTGCGGATAGACTAAGTAACTTCCCACCCTCCCCTCTAAGTATTGTGAACAAGGGGCTCGTGTAGGCATATGAAACTGGTATGCCTGTATGAACGGATCCTCACAGTGGGGGATGGACTTGCATGCTGACTTGCAGTCAGGAACTGACAAGAGCTTCAGGAATGAGTTTCTTCTCCGAACACTGCAAGCCACTACACACAACACTTTCGCGCCGCGTTAAAACCAGGACAAGCACACCGGAACCGAAGCCATGCGTCTGAGTCCTGAGCCAATCATCGGAACTCCCTCAAACCGTGAAAGGCTCAAAGCGAAAGCGGTGGGCTCCCCACTCTGTCGATTTCATCACCAGTGACGCCTGCCCTGAAAGGGGATTGTGTGTGACAGAGCGAGAGAGAGAGAGAGAGAGAGAGAGAGAGAGAGAGAGAGAGAGAGAGAGAGAGAGAGAGAGAGAGAGAGAGAGAGAGAGAGAGAGAGAGAGCGAGAGAGAGAGTGAGAGACAAAGTCACGGAGAAAGGAAGAGAGAGAGACGGAGAGTGAATGAGTGAGCGCGAGCGTGTGTGAGTGCCATGGCCCCATGGCCGTCTCAACAAAGACAAAGAGCCCGATGCAACAGCAATGATTGCTGAACAAACCTTTGCCCTCAGAAGCTCGATCGGATTCCTTCTAGGCTCATGGTCCACAGAGATCGTCACACACAAGGCTTTACCCGGTCCTTGCGCCATATACCTCTATCGTCCCAAACCGATTCCCCGTCTCAGGATGTGAGCCCGAACTCCTGAACCCTGAAGCCAGAAAGATGCTCAAAGACCCAGACTTGCAAGAAAAACCTCGCAACCCTCTGAGGAACCTCATGAACCGTGCGGCGATGTCCAACACCTCGCGTCCCAGTTCACAGGCCTCCGAGCTAAGGATGGAGATGGATGTAGAAAGTAGTATCCCCTAATTTGGGGCCCTAAACTACTAAGGGTACTTTATAGGAACCCCCACTACGGGATCTACAGTACTTTTTGGATGCTCCCGGGGGTCTGCATGAGTTGTGCTGCGAGCTGCGAGTTCTTGGTTTGACGGGCTGTGTTGGGAGTTATTATACTTGGAGGATCATGGGATTTAGTAACTGGGGTTATCAGTATGCTAATTAGGGTTATAAGTAATTATAGCTATGGTTACCCTATGTATAACCCCAATTAATAAGTCCCAGGATCGTCTAAGTATGAAACCGCTCTCCTCATTGCGAGCCCGATGTCTTATCGTATTTGGCCACAACAAAACGCTCAGAAAGCCGTACCGAAAACCAACACCCTAAACCCTCAATCCCAAAATCCCAAACCGTACACCGTAAGCCCCCTACCCCGATTCAAAACCGAAATCCTAATCCCTAAACCCTAAGCCCTAAACCCCATACGCCTTGAGCCCTAAACCCTAAGCCCTGAGCCCTAAACCATAAGCCCTAAAACTTAAACCCCAAGCCCTAAACAATAAACCCTATGCCCTAAACAATAAACCTTAAGCCCTAAACCCCTAAAACAAACCCCTAAGCCCTTTAAACCCTAAGCCTTAAAACAAACCCCCATGCATTCTAACTACTGCGCTCGGATCCCGGCCCTTCGCATGGTCTGCAAGTCTTCCCCTTCGATCACGGGGATCGTTTTGGTCCTGGGACGTGGGTTAGAGCCCGAAGCCCTGTAAACCCTAAATCCTACAACCTTAAATCCTGGGCTTTTGGGTTCAAGGCTTGCAGGGGCTGAGTGCAACCTAGCCCAAAAAAGTTTAACCGTTTGATCATGCTAGGGCTTCAGACACCCAGAAAGAAACAAAGGCTACCTAACCAGCGCCGGTTAAGTTGGATGGATGTGGCCCTGGGATTACACGTCTTATGCCCAGGGTGTAGGTTGATTCGGGGCTCAGGTTTGTGGATTAGACGGGCTGGGGGGGCTCAGGCTTGGGGTTTCCAGGCTTGAGGATTGGGAGCTGAAGGTTGGTTTGCGTGGTGCTGGTCCTGGGTTTCCAAATGCTAGCTGGAGGCGTCTTGCTGGGTTCACGGTCAAGCGCTCTTGCAGTTGCGGTTGCCCGAACCCGAAACCCGAAAGCCAGAACCCGAAATGCTAAAATGAACGTAACAAGTGTAGGTAGCAGCGAAGCTGGCAGGTCCTGCTTCGAAGGAACTCAGACCTGGGACGGATAAGGGCATACGTGATTGAGGATGGAATTGCCTGCCACTGGCACCTCAACAAGGTTCCTACAGTTTCCATTGTAGTTCCTACGAAGAAGAGTATAGGTTTGGGGGCTGTGGACGGTGTCGAGTTATGAGGGAATATTAGATGTTCCGAACTCTTCATTACGGGTCTTTGCACAACTTGGGCTCAGCCAAAATCTGCGGGGCTTGGGGGCATTGCGATTTACGGACGCAGGGCCGAAGGTCTTAGGGACATTGTGTTGCGTTGTTGCTTGGGCAGCTAAGCACACGCAACAATCATGTAGCATGCTGTTGTTGCAAGCTGCTAGGTCGCGACGAGAATCGGAGTACCCGTGTGGGCAAGACCTTCCTGCACAAAGCAAGGGCTGGACTCCGCTGGAATCCCTGAATAGGTTGAGGGAACTCCGTGTGGGTGATGCATTTTGCCACGTGGGCAAGGGGCGACGTCTAGGATCCTGGCTTCCCCTTTTAAACCTTCTACGGCCTTAGCCCAAACCCTGAACGCGTGAATGAACCTTACAAAGCCCTCCAGCCAGCCTGGGAAGCCCTTTTGGGTGAAGTGCGTAGTCTGGAAGGCAGCTGCAGCCCTGACACAGGTACAGAGTCAGGGTCCATGTACTTTTAAAGTTCCTTCACGGGGTAGCACAGGCGTTCGCAGTGTAGACCCACATAGGAACCCTTTAAGACCGCAACATATACTATATGACTATATGGGTACATGGAACCTTATGAGGAACTAGAAGATTATGCTTGAAGGATCAGAGGAGCTGGTTGTTGCGCACGAATATGACGCTCCTGCTGCCAAAACGCGAGGAACTACAACGATGCAGGTGTTCCTAAGATTGAACAGTAAACGGAAGGAAGTGGCGACATGCACGGATAAGTGAATTTGTGCAGTACAAACAACCCTAATTATTAGCTTACCAGCCCCATTGACCGTTGAAAGTAATCTAGCGGCCAACTTAAAGTACAATACTGCTAAGATTGACTCTCTTATCAGATTCTAGGAAAACTTAGACCCTAAACCGAACTCGGAAATCTTAGACGTCCAAACCCTAATCCTTACACTCTCTAAACCCTTTAAAAGCCTTTTTGTATGAGGCTGTTGTAAGGAACGGTGCAGCCGGCTTGGGATGTAGCCTTCAGGCTGTCTAAAGAGGGGAACGTAAACATTAAAATAACGGTTTGGGGCTCTTTGCCGGCATATTAGTAGCACCACGCCCACAAAACACATTGGTAATTATTTAAGCCCCTATAGTACTGGTTTTGGGGTCTACGTCATTGCGTTCGGTCTTAAGTAAGAGTTGCGCCCAGGCCTGCTGCCGGTCTCGGCCCCTTTGCCCTGGAGCCTTCCCTGTCTCTGTCTTTGCCTCCGCCTCAATCTCCGTCTCGGTCCTCCCTCTCTCTCTCTCTTTCTCTCTCTCTCTCTCTCTCTCTCTCTCTCTCTCTCTGTCTCTCTCTCTCTCTCTCTCTCTCTCTCTGTACATCAATAGATAGGTAATTGGATAGATGAGTTTGATTGTTTCCACAGCCCCAATCCCCAGAATGGATTGCTTTTTCCCGCGGTGATGCTCGACGGCTGGATATCCCTAAGCCCACATGACCGGCTCGAACAATGGTCCGTAGCGACAACAAGACCTTTAACAACTTAAACCAAGTATGTTTGTATATATATATATATATGTTTACATATATAGTTATATAAAAATTATATATATATATATATATATATATATATTAACTTCTTTTATGCACACACACATATATGCTACTCCCTCCCCGGTAAGCGTCCGCGTTTTGAGTGGTGGTATCTCATTGTACACAACTACAACGTCACTCCAAGCCAAGCCATCAGCTACCAGCCCCAAAACTTAGAGACTCCAAGCAGTTTACATCAACATTCTTATCGAGACCAGGACCTGACCAGGATTCGATTCGGAATGTTTGCGATGCGCGAGGCGGTTCAACAGGAACTGTAGGTACGACCATCGGGTCCGTCGGCACAACTCCCAAGACTAGCTTGAAGATATCATTCGCCACGCATACTGGGAGATGCTGCCGCGCCGTCACGTCGAAAGACCAAGCTTCCATGGCAAATGCTGTCGACAAGCAACGATCACATCAGTGATGTAATTAAGTAACCCTCCATGGCAAATGCTGTCGACAAGCAACGATAACATCAGTGATGTAATTAGGTAACCCGCGATTCCAAAACTTGCGGCTCCGGCTTCGATGTGATTGGCGCAACCCATGACACTCATGCCGCTGGTGACAAATGCATCATCAAGCCATAAATTACCTCGTGTTAGCTTACCCTCAACCTTGTGCCCCATAGCGGTCTCGAAGAAATGTCCCTTCTTCTCCTTGGTGTCGCTAACCTTCGTTTTGCATGGAAGATCTCCGACCCGAACTGTTCATACAACGGGTTTTTGCAGCTGTCTGTCCGGCTGCTTATTGTACGC